CTATTTGAAAATACCAGTCTGTCTTTCTACAACGGAGGCACTGATACATCCAAATGTTATTAATATAGAAAAAAATGTCAAGATATAAAGATATTTTGAATGAAGAGGGGGAACTTAAAACTAAACAAGAATTGAGGAGTCAAGGGATTGATATAGCATGGTGGTCACAAGTGTAGATACAATCTCAATATAAGAAAGATGCTAAAATGTACAGTTTTTATAAAGAACCATTAGAACTAAAAATGTATATACACTGCTCAAAAAAATAAAGGGAACACTTAAACAACACAATGTAACTCCAAGTCAATCACACTTTTGTGAAATCAAACTGTCCATTTAGGTAGCAACATTGATTGACAATTAATTTCACATGCTGTTGTGCAAATGGAATAGACAACAGGTGGAAAGCATAGGCAGTTAGCAAGACATCCCCAATAAAGGAGTGGTTCTGCAGGTGGTGACCACAGACCACTTCTCAGTTCCTATGCTTTCTGGCTGATGGTTTGGTCACTTTTGAATGCTGGCGGTGATTTCACTCTAGTGGTAGCATGAGACGGAGTCTACAACCCACACAAGTGACTCAGGTAGTGCAGCTCATCCAGGATGGCACATCAATGCGAGCTGTGGCAAGAAGGTTTGCTGTCAGCGTAGTGTCCAGAGCATGGAGGCACTACCGGGAGACAGGCCAGTACATCAGGAGACGTGGAGGAGGCCATAGGAGGGCAACAACCCAGCATCAGGACCGCTACCTCCGCCTTTGTGCAAGGAGGGACAGGAGGAACACTGCCAGAGCCCTGCAAAATGACCTCCAGCGGGCCACAAATGTGCATGTGGCTGCTCAAACGGTCAGAAACAGACTCCATGAGGGTGGTATGAGGGCCCGACATCCACAGGTGGGGATTGTGCTTACAGCCCAACACCGTGCAGGACGTTTGGCATTTGCCAGAGAACACCAAGATTGGCAAATTCGCCACTGGCACCCTGTGCTCTTTACAGATGAAAGCAGGTTCACACTGAGCACATGTGACAGACGTGACATGGTCTGGAGATGCCGTGGAGAACGTTCTGCTGCCTGCAACATCCTCCAGCATGATCGGTTTGGCAGTGGGTCAGTAATGGTGTGGGGTGGCATTTCTTTAGGGGGCCGCACAGCCCTCCATGTGCTCACCAGAGGTAGCCTGACTGCCATTAGGTACCGAGATGAGATCCTCAGACCCCTTGTGAGACCATATGCTGGTGTGGTTGGCCCTGGGTTCCTCCTAATGCAAGACAATGCTAGACCTCATGTGGCTGGAGTGTGTCAACAGTTCCTGCAAGACTTGTTTTAAGGACATTACATCAAAGTTGGATCAGCCTGTAGTGTTTTTTTCCACTTTAATTTTGAGTGTAACTCCAAATCCAGACCTCCATGGGTTGCTAAATTTGATTTCCATTGATAATTTTTGTGTGATTTTGTTGTCAGCACATTCAACTATGTAATGAACAAAGTATTTAATAAGAATATTTCATTCATTCAGATCTAGGATGTCTTATTTTTGTGTTCCCTTTATTTTTTTGAGCAGTGTAGTTATCTATTAAGCATTAAAATGGAAGGAGATCAAGTAAAAGAGACAATGATAGTATGAACCAAAAATTTGGTTACACAATAGAGTTAGATAAATGGCAGAAACTTTGGGACAGGAATTATAAATTAATGATATCAACTGCATATAAAGAAAGTCTTTACAAAATGTTTTATAGATGGCATTTTTCACCCACAAGATTGGCAAAGAAGTTTAAGGACAAGTCCGCTAAATGTTGGAAATACAACATCAGGTTCATATTATCATATGTGGTGGACATGCCCAAAGGCAAAAAAAAAAAAAAAATTGGACTAAAATACATACATGGTTGGAAAAAATGACTCTTGGGCATTTTACCAGAAAAATATAAAAGGAACACATATTTGATTTTACATTTTGCTGTTGTGCTAACAGCGGCTAGAATTGTATTTGCACAACAATGGAAAAGTGAACCATACAGAGGAAAACGTAATTTAAAAATACCAAAATGTGCAGAAATGGATAGATTAACACTCAAAATTAAGGAAAAGGAAGAAACTGAATATTTTTTTAATATGGGACTCATTTTATCAATGGCTAGCCAATAAAAACAGGTCAGAAATATGGAAATTTAAGAGAAGGATTAATTTTTATAATCTTATAATGGAAGGTTTATTAAAATGAATAAGCAAATATTATCATTATTATGAGATTAATACCAATATATGTAATGAATATTATTGTAAACATTATGGTTATTATTTCTCAAAATTATTTGTACACAGACAACACACTGACTATTTAGAAATGGATTTTTTTATCTGTAATAAAACTATAAAAAAGAAAATAAAACTCTGGGAACCAAGCTATTTTTCTACTACATTATGAGAAACATTTTCGAGAAGACTTTCTTGGAAGTCCTAGACTCCTATCAAAGAAATTAGCTTCCATTTGGAAAATTAATGTCATGAAACAATTTCCATGTCATTAGCACCAGGATGCACCACAATTGCTAATTCCATTTGTCATTATCTGTCTATCTAGGGAATTGGTAAAATGCACAGCTGGTGCAAATTGGCAAGTCAATGTGCAAAGTACAGACTTACACTGATTCTGTACATACAAATTCATACCTGTACTTTTCATGATCAGTTTGCTGACCACTATGTGATTGTAGAAAAATATCCTCATTTTGAGAGGATGCAGGTTCAGCTGCAAGCCCTGTATTTGATTCCCAGTCTCTTCATGTGACACATTCTTTCTCCTAATCTCTCATTTCCTGTAACTGAAGACCAACTGCTAGCAGAGGCATAATGCAATCTCTGGCAATTAAAATTGCCTCAGCTCTTCTGAATTAATTAACTTGCACTCTATGAATGTGTACGCTTTATACTAAGCATACACTGAGAACCTGTGCCTGTAGCAATCTTATTGTAACTGTCATATACAGTAAAATATGATGCTGGTAATTTCCATGCCCTTACTATTTTACTGGTTTGTTACCTCCAGATCTGGCTTTCTTTAATGTGGTTCAGGATGGGAAATTATTTACTTACCAAAATATCAAGCCCCCTACAGAAGTTCATAATGAAGATAGCAAAATTCTCGTACGGATTCTTGGAAGGCAGATTTATTGCAAAGAAAAAAAAAGAATTTAAGTTACAGAATCTTAGAAAGTGGAAAGTGGATCTATATGGATATTTATATGGTCTTCATTACTGATGACCATATTAAATGAGGACTCAATTCTCTTTTTACCTCTTTCTAACAGAATCTTGATTGAATGGGAAAGATGTTAATCACTTATTGCTACCACAGAAATGTCTTCTTGTGCTGTATTTTGGAAATGTCAATTTTCATTCACAGGCTAAAAGAATTCCATCACCCTAAAGTGGTAAACCTACATACCTGGTTTCTGAAATTGCCTATTTGCTTAACTGCCTTTTTATTTGTTCATTTGTTTATAAAACAAATTTATGTAGCTGCTCAACTCATACACAGTGACTTTTCATTCTTACCCTTTCTTCCTATTCATGTCGGTTTGATATCTACAGTACGTCTTCCAGCATTTTCTCCTTCTATTATTTACAGTACAAATGAAGAAGAAAGGTCATTATTAGCCTCCATTATATTTTGAATATTTTCAAAGAAATTCACATTGATCATTTAAGATCAAATACATAGCTTAGACTGTAAACATTTATAATAAGATAAAATAGCATTTATTAAACTGTTTTTGTATAAAGTGGTTTTAAACTGTTATACTCAATGGGAAACAAAATAAAGATGGTATTAGGGAAATGTTTAAGTAGATATATAGAAATGTGTATATTTATAAAAAATTATTAATCAGGGAAAACTTTATAAAGTTATCAGATGATAGACAAGTCCATTGCTTCCAAACAAAATAAATAAAAATGACCAAAACCAAAATTCTGAGAGCTGTACAAACACATTTATAATATGAATTTATATTATAAATAATGAAGGTGATTTAAATTTATTGGAGTATTATTGCTGCAACTGAATCTGGGCAGAATGAAATAATATAAAACCATTTATTAATGCTTTGTGTATATTATGTAACTCATTATGTGATAAAATATTTTAACAATCGAGGACTAATCTATTTACCAGCCTTCTGAAAAATGATTTGGGAAATAAAAATCAAATACTTTTGCTTCAAAGTATTGAATAAATGAAATGTTTAAGGAAATCCAAATATTAACCATCCCTACACCAACTTCTTTTACATTTATACCAAGCCATGCTTTTGAATCCATTATCCTTGATTTGTAGGAACCAAATGTGGAATTTAATTGTTTTATGTTAAATATAAAGTTACATTGTGAAGTAAACCTTTATTTGTATGGCTACCATAAGAACTGGGAAATTTGTTAGCAATGTAATTTGTTACTATTAGGAGATTCAGAATCGAGCTTTAACCCCAACTCATTAACATAACTTTAACCTTCTTTTCCTTGCTGTTTTTTTCCCCTCTTTTTTAGTACATTACTCCCTGGCCTATTCTTGCTTTCAGATTTATGGGTCATTACCAGTGGTGGGATTCAAAAAATTTTACTACCGGTTCTGTGGGCGTGGCAGGGGAAGGTTACTACAAAATCCCATTCCCACCTGACTAACCTGCTTTCCAGCTCTGTTCGCCTGTGCAGGGCAACAAAAGAAGACCCAGCCGATCAGCTGGGACCCGGGAGGCAGAGAATAAATGGGGGTGGGGCGGTTCTCTGAACTACTCAAAATTTCTACTACCGGTTCTCCAGAACTGGTCAGAACCTGCTGAATACCACCTTTGGTCATTACATTACCTATATTAGCCCCTTTAATAATAAACTTTAATATTACCTAATATGAATGTAATTAGATTATTTTAGTGAGGTGAATTAAGACTCCCAGTATGAATAGAAGGGCTAGAAATTCATGTGCTCTCTTTGTCAACAGGACAAGTACATCATGGTCAAGTTTCCTATCTTGTTCCTCCAATTCATCTAGACTCAGATCTTGAAAGACAATCATTTAAAGGTGAGTTGCCATTTAAATCATTCTACCCTGAAAAGATTCATTTGTTAATTGGAGTTTGTCAAAATTTGATCACATAAAGTTATTGAAAGGATTTGCTGTTGTTGAACAGATTTGAAAGTGTTTCTTTCTGAAATTAGTTTTAATATGTATTTTATTGCAATGTTGTCATATATTTAATTCAAGGTTGTTTTTTAATACTTTTGTCATACTATCTGGGCCTTATTGTTACTCAGAATTAATTGAATAATTCCCTAAAATTTAGATTTAACATGTGTAATATAACTGGACACATATTTTGTTTATCTACTTAATCTATGTTTTATTCACATTTCATATTTAAGTTTTTATTTTTATTTTTGTTTTCATTTATTTTTAATATGTTGCATTTTAATATGGTCTGTTACTATTCTTATAAGCTGCCAAAGTCGTGTTTTGTGAGATGAGCAGCTTATATATTTGTATAAAAATGAATAAATTATAGAAAACAAAAAAGTACACCACCAATCTCAAAACAATTTAGAGTCATCAAAAATGATAGCAGGACAAAAAGGACACTGGCTATTCAATTTAGGCTGTAATCTGGTGGATGAACAGAATCTTTTCAATTACTTTCCAATCTAAGAACTCAATTTTCTAGCTTTGATTTCACTGTCAATATACAGTGTTACTATGCATTTATATCCAACATTTTAACAGTGGAAATTAACACTACTGTCTTCAGCTTTAAAGGGCTGCTCTGGCAGATGGCTTAGCTGAATGTTTATCTTCTGTAATTTGCTAGTGGTTTGGATAAACCTTTATGTATTATCCTAGAGAAATCCCATAAAATGGATGAATGTCATATCTTCCAAAATAAAAAAGTGGGGGGAGGAAAATCCAGTTAATTAAAGTCTAGTCAAGCTGTCATTATTACCCAGGAAGATTCTAGATCCAAATAGCACTTTTTAAAATAATGTAATAATTACTAAAAGTAAATATGTAATACTAGAAAAAAAGAATGGCCAAATAAATATTATGATTTTTTTCAGATATCTTCCTTGGAGATACTGGGAAGGCACATAGATACAAGATATATCTTCTTTGTAACAAAGTGATTGATACAGTGAATATTCTAATTAAATATGGGCTAAATGACATAAAAATTAAGTTAATATATTGGGGGCTTGAAAGTCAACTCAGAGTGCTTATCAATTTGGGGAAAATATTATATAAATGATCAAAAGATTCAATATTAGTTCTTTATTCTTCAACAATTTTTATTAATGAGATGGATGAAAAAATGAAGTGAATAGTTACCAGATCTGTACATTGTCCAAAATTGTGTAACGTAGCTTTAGATTAGAACTTCAGAAAAGAACTTAAAAAAAAAAAAAAAAGCTGTGTTAGACAAATTGTGTGAAAAATAACAGAATGAAATTTAGCAAGTGATAAATATAAATTTGGCTTGGCTCTTTTTCTTGTTCAGAAATAATTTGAAATAGTAGTTGTTACAAATAAAATATGAATCAGTAGAATAATGTTGCTACAAAAGGACCAAATACAATTTGAATTGGAATTAACAGAAATCTAGTTTCCAAATCATGAAAAAAAATGGTACATTTTCCTTCTTTGTATCCTTTGTATCTTATTTTATGTTATAATTCAATAAAAATGTTAAACTTGAAGAAGGATCAGGAGAATAATCAGGGATTGAAAATTAAATCTTCCATTGTGAGATTTAAACTACTTGGAATGTTTAACACTGAAAATACAGGTACAATTGAGGGACAGATATAATCACAAAAACTTGAAAGAAATGTGTCACACAGAAGGTAGCCAAAATTTATTCTTGATTTTAAGGAATGAAAGAAATGAAATCAATTAAATTTCAGAAATAAAGATTCTGACTGAATTGGACAGGAAAGGGAGTGAGGAAGATCTACTTAACCATAAGAACAGTTTGTGAAACTATTTTCCAGAACAGCTGTGGGTTTTCTTTCATTATTGGCTGAGCAACCAATTATAGTGGAGCTCCAGAGAAAGAAATCAACACCAAAGATTATTGAATGCCTAAAATGAGAATGAAATCAATGGGATTTGCCCATTAGAACACATGCATTCCTAGCTACATTCCCAACTTTATATGTGGAATGTATTTAAGCATCTTGATGAGTTTGGGCAAGGAAACATCATATTGTCTTAGTAGAAGAAGGTAAATTAGAAAAAAAGGTAAACACGAGCTTGGTTCAGAGGCAGGCAGACAACCACCTTGATGTAAAGTAAAGGTAAAGGAATCCCTGCAGGTTATAGTCCGGAAGCTATTACCGAATATACAGGGTGGTGCTCATCTCTGTTTCAGAGCTTTTGGTTACTCTGGATCAAAGCCTTATGAGTAAGACTCAATTGAGATGTTATGTAAGACATAAATGAAATACAAATAAATCATATATTTCAGAGTAAATATGTATTATCAGTACATCACTCAGTAATTTCTTCATGGACCAGATCAAAATTCGTTTGAATCTTTTTCTGCATTTAGATGACAGTTCCCCAAAGCCGTGTGTCTTCTCGATGTAGAATATTTTTAAAAACTTTTATAGTCCATTAGTGTTACACCCTTACGGAATTATTCTTGTGGGCCCTATTACTATTTAATACTCTTAGTGCCTTCAAGAAAAAAATCCAATAGTACCGCATATCCTAGGTATTTTACTTGGGCCAATGGACCTTCTGCATTCCTTTTTAAGAATCAGGTTCATTTCTAAATTGTTCTTAAGGATGCACCACAGCAACTGTGGAGGGAAGAAAGTCCTACCTCAACACTTGGGATGCAAGCCCTGCCCCTTTTGTATATGCATTTCCTTGCTTTTAGTCTCACCTTTCCAGTATTCTTATAGGACTATAGCTAAAGAGCTTCCTAAAAAAGTGTAGCTTCTTCTTCAGTGTCTTACATTGAAACTCTTGGTTACTTCGGATCAAAGCCTTATCATCAAAGTGTCCATCCACTTCAGATTTTTTTAAAGAAAGGGCAATAGTACAGAATGCATTTTCTCTTGCCTTTCTAATTTACCATTTTTATTTTTTTGTTCAAATGATAGTTAAATCATTTTAGATACTATAAAGTTAATTTCAAAGCTAATTATTCTTGAAAATAAATTTATTTAATCTTATTATTTTTTTTCATGAAAATATTTAAAATCTCCCCAATGGAATTAAGAGAACCAACAAGGGCAATTTATATATTATTATCTCAATAATGTATTGCATTTAAGGTACATTAATTAAAAATTAGGCTGATTAGAGAAGCTTTAAAAACATAATAACAAATACAGGAGATAAAAGGTTTTCTGATTCAGTGTGTTTAAGCATGACTATGGCCAGGCTATGCTACATACGGTTGCCTTTAGCAAACATTCTTAGACTATATCTTTGGAAGTTTAAAGGTGAAGAATAATCCAAACCTACAAATCAATGTTCTTGATCTTGTCATGTTGTTTAATATTGTGTGCTATTTTAATTATTATTTTGTTACCAAGGTCATATAAAAAAGTTGTTCCCTCTAAATGTTTTGTACTTCAATTTTTATTACTCCGGTAAATATGGCCAATGACATGACATTCTAGGAGATATAGACCATCTGGAAGACATCAGATTGCCTGCTCTGAGTATAAACTAATTTTATAGAGTGACATGTTAAAATGATATCCTTCTTTTCTTATTGCCGGTAGCTATATAACAATAAAGTGTTATGTCACTCAATCAGTTGATAGAAAGTATGTAAAAGGAAAAAGAAAAACAGAGGGGTGAAATTGTTCTCCAGACAAAAATATTTTGACATTTGTAGAAAGGGAAGGAAGGAAGGAAGGAAGGAAGGAAGGAAGGAAGGAAGGAAGGA